GGTTAAGGGTCTTGCTCAGAGACCAAAAGTTGCAGTCTGTGGGAGTGGGGGATCAAACTCACAACCTCAGGATTCAAAGCCCTATGCCCTAACCACTAGGCCGCCTCTCCCAGCTTATATCATATATATATTATATAAATCCGGACTGTGTGGTGTTTGGACCCTAAAGCTGTGTCATCGCAGTGTTCCTTTTATCTGCTGATGTTTGATGAGCATCTCGGATTCATTTGACATCTTCCAAATGTTCATTTCGATCTCAAATAAACAGCTGATCCCTGCAAAGGAGAATCAGTCCTAAAATGAGTCTTAAATCCATAAAAGGAATCAGCAGAGATCAAACAAATTTGTTTAATCTCCTCCTGATTAGTTTCCCTTCTTTTTTCTCACAGTTTCTGCAGCTTTCATCCACTTGATCCTGCTGCACAACTACAGCATGACTCATGAGTCCTCCTCCAATCCCGTGCAGGCACTAGTCTTGCCATGTAATGTTTCACCTCCTCAGCTGAGGAAGGATGGATTCCTTTAGAATAGTATCTTCACATCCAGCCGTTTATACTTCAGAGAGCTTTCCGTTGCATGTTTTTCGATCAGCTGGAAACATTTTCTAATATTAGAACGTTTCCCTTGATTTGCCCGGTTTCTCCGGGTGACTGCGAGGCACATGGCCCGACGGTGGAACCAATCAGAGCACAGGACCAGCTTTCCCTCTCTCTAGCAACAGTGAGTTGCTTGCTGCCTGGTTCATTATTTATTTTTCTGCGGTCGCCCTCTTGTGCCCGCTCCGTCTCTCTCGCGCTGCTTTTGTGTCGCTCTCTCTGCCCAGACTAAAATAAAAAAGTGTTTGGGAGGGAAAAAAAGGGGACGCTGTGCTGCCTGGAACCCACTCTCATCAGGACCTTAACTCTTTTTTTATATTTCCAAACTCGTGCTCATTTATTTTTCAATCTTTATTTTTATTCTTGCTGCATCTCTGAGTGAGCGAGTGAAGCATGGCTGCTGGAAAGATATCAGGACTTCTTCTCAGGAGGACAATCAGGGAAGGAGGGTTGGACTTTTTTGGCATGTTTTTTTGGGGGGTTTGGGTTGCAGGGGTGAGGAGCAGGTGGAGAAATGAGGCTTTTTTGGGAGGGTTGGGGGTGGGGGGGTGGTGGTGTGAGGATTGCGGGCTGTGGTTGGGTATGCCAGTGCCACGTGTCTCAGCCTGGCACTTCTCGCCTGTCGATTCAGAGGATGTGGGACCGTGAGTCTCGCTGAACCCGTCCGGCTCAATGAAAAAAAAAAAAAAACTCTGGTGAGTTTGGTTCCTTTTTTTTTGTTTTTTTTTATCCAGTTATTACCCAAAGCCTTTTAGCATCGCTTTAAACATAAAAGTAGGTCCTGATGAATCTATATATCCCTACTCAGGGGTTTCCGGTAAACGTGTGTGAAGCTTTAAAAACATTCTAGCTGGACGTTTGCCGTATTGTTTTAAGCTCTTGTCCTGATAGTTCCCACCGTGCACCCACCGTTTTTATTAAATGTCGTCTTTCATGGTCATTTCCCTTAAATGTTGGTAGAGCAGCAGGCCTCACAGACCCGGGGCCTCGGTTCTTTCAGATTAGCCATTTTGGATTATTTTTGTTTGTTTGGTTTTTTTTTGCTATCGGCCGAATTCAGCAGTCGCCTTTCTGCCTCCTTCGCTTCGTAACAAAAACCAAAGATGTCGGATCTTGAAGCTGTGATCTCCCGTTTTTTTTTTCTCATTGCATAATTTCTCTGTGCGTTGGTTTATTTCAAGCTTGGATTTGGATTTTATAATCTAGGTACCAGTTTCAGAGGTATAGATGGCAATGAAAGGAAAGAAACTCATGCATTGATTTCAAATCAAAGTCTATGTTGAATATTCAGATTTTTCACTATATTTGTCCTTTTGAAGCTGATTTTTAACACGCTGTGTGGATTTTGTTTGTGTTTGTTTGAACATGAATGATTTGATTGGCTTCTTTCGGAGCAGAAAACAGAGTTGCCACTTCTGTCCCGTCCAGGAATCTCTCCTGCTTGTTTGGGAGAAATGTGGCTCCACTGCAGCTGATTTGTGGATCGAACGTTCACCTTCCAACTTCTCTTAATCCAGACTTTTCAGTCAGAGTAAAAGAAAACTTTTTGGTGCGGTGTTAGAGCGAACTACGTCATTTTTTTTTTTTTGGAACGTTGAAAGAGGGCCTCGGAGGCTCCTGCCCGGGTGATGACGCAGCAGCGTCGACCACACGGATGCATGGAGCTGTCGCAGTTCGCCATTTTTAATGCAATGTTTTGCTCTCCCTGTTAAGCCGTTTGTAACCCATTGTTTTTTATTTATTTTGGTCTTCTTTTCTTTTTGTTTCTGCTACGCAGGTCAGTCGTCAATCCTTCCCGTTAATTTGAACGCATTCGAAGAAACTACGGAGCTTTCCGCTCCACGTTTTCCTCCCAACTTAGACGTCTGTTTGGAGCGTGGAGATCCAGCGACGCCATCCTTCACCACAGCAACCAAAGCAGTGCCGGAGTTGAGTTTTTTTTGAAGGAGCATGTTGCCGACGCTCTCCCTCTGCTCCATCATTTGGCTCAACCGGGGTATCAAGCTGAGGAAAGTGCAGCAGCGCAGCAACACCGGTCAGCTCTGAAGCTGCTGCCACCTCCCCGTTACAGCACCTCTCTTATGAAGCGGTAAAAATGCTTCTAAGCTTTGGGTGACTTGCTCCTCCTTCCTTCAGTCTAGACACCAACAGCACCTTCCAGTGGCTCCGCTCCAGCTTCAGTTTCTTTAAAGACCAACCGGTTATCAAAAAAGGAACTCATCTGCTCTACAAAATGGCGGCCGAGGGTTTCCAGTACCGTGCCCTCTACTCGTTCACCAAGGACCAGGAGGAGGACTTGGATCTCCAGCCAGGAGACCTCCTGACTGTCAGCAAGGCCTCTCTGGTGTTGATGCTGACCTACGAGGAGGGCTGTGAGGAGCATCCGCAGCGTCTAGGCTGGCTCCTAGGGTACAACGAACGCACCAAACAGAGAGGCGACTTCCCAGGAACGTTCGTGGAGTTTGTTGGCCCGGTTAAAATGGCCCACCCGTCGAGTCAACCAAGGTCCCGGCGGCCTCTCCCTGCTGCTCCCGTTCCAGAATCGTCTCATGGTAAGTAAGGGCTTTCACATTATTCTGGATTATTTTATACGGCCTCTGTTCTTAGCAGTGGCTCCATGTTTTTAGCAGGTCTTCCCACATCTAACATGTAAATTGAACCCTGATCGCTTCTGCAAACAGAACAGAAAGAGGACTAGTGTCATGAAACGGAGACAGATGGACCCAGTATTCAAGGAGAGACAGTCAGTAGGAATGTTCAAAACGTTTATTAAATAAACTAAACAAAAAGCGGAGCTGTGGCTCGCGGACATTGCAGGCAGGGGGGGCGCGGCACCGCCCAATCTCAGACACTCTGTAGTGGGAGAAACACAGGTAAGTGACCACGATCATCTGACAGAAGATTATCTGCGTTGGTCACTTACCTGGTTTAACAGTCCAGACCAAGAATGTCGCCAAGTGCTGCAGTCCCAGAGGTGATGCTGGAAGCCGGTCCTGGTCAGGGATCCAGAACAGACAGGAACAGACAGAACAGGATCCAGATCGGGCAGGAACAGAAACAGGTGGCAAGATCCAGACTTCCAGGCATCCACAGCCTCCCAGGAGGGTTCAGAGTCTGACTGGGACCAGAAGCATGACCAGGTGGTCAAGCACAGGAGCAGACAGGATCAGGTGCAGACAGGCAGGCTCAGTGGAAGAGGGTAGCCGAGACAGGACGTGGAACCGGAACTTGATGCGGGACTTTAAACTGGTCTCCTCCCTGGAGCCAGGCTTACTGGATAAAAACTGAACCTCCTACATATTGAGCCAAAAACCCAGAGGACTTCACGGGGGAGGGACAGTGGACAATCAGGAGACGAGACAAACACAAAACCGTCTTTCCACTGGCTGCCAGGATCCAGGACATGAACCGTGAACTAAAACAGAACAGACAGACTGACAGACAGACACGTAATGATCTGGCCCTGAATGGTCAGGCTGAACTGAATATAACCAACAGGAAACAGGTGAGAGGAATAAATTATAATTGAGGCAGGGAGGGAAAACGGCAGGTGAAAGGAATGACTAATTAAGGAGGAGCAAAGAGGCCAGATCATGACAACTAGAGCTGAACAAGGTGCTCTGGAGTACTTTAAAGCTGTTATGGCTGAGCAATGTGACTTAAGCTGGGCAGACACTGTACGATTTTTTTGCCTTTTTTGGGACGAAAATCAGACATGTTTGAAATTTAGTCTGCCATCTTAAGGTGGTCGCGGTCAAATCGCTCACCTAATTTAAGATATTTTTACTTATTTTTAGATTGTTTTTCCAGTGTGCTCTGGGACTGTCTGTGGGAGTGGGTTTTGAACTCACAACCTCAGGATTCCAAGCACAATCTCATGAAACATAAAGCTAGTTTGGTTAACCGTTTCATTTCCACTTCAAGGCGTTCTGGATAATCCTAAATGCAAAAGCTATACGTTGTTGTAAAGTTGTGGCTTCATTACCGCTTTGAGAGGATTGTTCTGTAAGTTAATGATATGTTTTAGAGTCAGTTAAAGATTATACAGGACTAAAGTGCTGGTTTTACTCCCCGCAGCAGTGCGTCGCAGTGAGCTTGATGCAGACGTTTTTGATTTATGCTCAATTTTGAAGCGTGGTCTGTGCTATACGCTGTGAGTTTAGATATGGCAGAGGCGGTGAGGAAGTGGGGGCGAGTTCGTCCGACAACGGAGGGACATGACGGCGAAAAGGAGCGGGGATCCAGGTGGAAAAAGGGTCCCAGCGTTCTCGCGCACGTCGCTCTTCTAGCTGGTTCATCTTCACGAGTTGTTTTCCGCAATGGCGGTCATACAAACAAAACAAGCCGGCATCCTGTCTGCGGCACTGTCTGCGGTCACCTACAATTTGGGAGAGGTGGAGCAGAGTGTCTGCGGAAGGGGCGGGGACGTCTTTTTGTTCACTATGACACCTATGCAGACGACCTAGTTTCGAAGTATCAGCCTTAAGGGCCCTGTTGCACCTTGCCGGTTTAGCCAGCGTATTCCCGACTTCCAAAAATCTCCTAAAACGCTGGCATACGCTGAACTTTCTATGTTTTTTTTTCAATTTTTGGTGTACACATAGAGTATTCATAACGATTCCAGAACATATGTCTAACAACAGCCTAACTCATGCGCATAATGCACTGCAGCGTAATCCAGTGTCCAGGATGGGGCAGCAATGCGCCCGGAGGCACTGGCTATGCATAAAACGATTCATTTGATCGCTTTATTAACCCGGCTGCCGTTTACCGCCTGCCAAAAACAATAAATTAATTAAAGAAAGAAAAGAAAGAAAGATGGTTTGCAGTAGCAGCAGATTCAGCATCATGTCTGCTAGTTTGTTAGTGGTGGGCGTGAACGCAGGGAGGATCCATCACCCTCACCTTCTGGCTCACCCTATGATGGGGATGAAGTCTGGAGGAGAACTGACGGTTTCCTCCTTTTATACCAAAACGCTGCTAATACGCCATTATACAGCAGCTGGAAGTTAGAAACACGTTCAGCGCTCGTCTGGAACACGTCAGATACGTTGATATGCTTTGGAGAGAAGTTCTTGATAAGTTGAGACTTGACCAAAGGGCTTTATACTAAATTCAGTCATTCACCCATTCATGCACACACTGATGGTGACAAGCTACATTGTAGCCACAGCTGCCCCGGGGCTCACTGACAGAAGCGGGGTTGCAGGTGAATGCAGGTGAAAGTCAGAGCCGGGGCTTGATCCGTCAATCCTACGATTTCAGGGCAAACTCTTACATCCGACGCCACTGTCGCCCTGCATAAGTTATGCACAAGTCAGTCAGAAGTTTTGGATAAGCTGGACGCCGCGACTAATGAGTAAGTTACACTGAACGTATGTTAACTATCACAGGGTTCCCGAGGGTCCTTAAAAAGTCTTGAAAGGCATTGAATTCTTCAAAATAAAACTAAGGCCTTAATTGGTATTAAAA